AGTGGTGGGTGGGGACAATATTCGGCCTCGCTACAGGCCCCAGTCATCGACCTTTGTTCCATACCCTCAGGTAAACCCTTTGGTAACGGGCACAGCGGCCACTGAGCAATGACCCCCATCATATACCCCACCACCCTCTAGCATGTTTTGAATTCTCACTATTCAAGGCACTATCACCACCACAACACAAGACGTTACCATCACCACCATCACACACGACACCAACACCACTATCCACGACGATAAACCACTATCCACGACGATAACACCACTCCCACGACGATAACACCACTACCCACGACGCCAACACCACTACACACGACGCCAACACCACTACACACGGGGCCCAACACCACTAACACGACGCCAACACCATACCCCCCGACGCCAACACCACTAACCCCCGACGCCAACACCACTACCCACGACGCCAACACCACTACCCACGACGCCAACACCACTACACACGACGCCAACACCACTACACACGACGCCAACACCACTACACACGACGCCAACACCACTACACACGACGCCAACACCACTACACACGACGCCAACCAGCAACGCTTTTTCTTTTTAAAAAACCTTCCACGTAGCAGAAACATTTCAGACATAAAAGAGACCCCCGTACGATCTCACGAATTTCTTGCCCGACCGATCACCACTAGCCATCAAACAAAAAATACAGACAACAGACCAAACAAAAGACCACTAACAAACTTAAAAGACCACTAACGGAGCAAGATGCCCTTAAACATTTATACCTCGTACCGTCGCTTTCAAAAATGTAAAAAAAAGTGTATTTTAATGCTAATTTACCTCCATAATATCTGGTGTAAAGGGGAAAACAAACAGTTCAGAGGAGTGACGAGCGAGACAACGTGTACAGCAGGTTACACGAAGCAGCTCACAGAAACCAGAACACAGGCGAAGCAAAAATAAAGCCACGCGTGACATGTACGCAGGTACAGCATGCAGGAAGCACCAGCACAAACGAGGCAGGTGCATGGCCACGCATGACATACGCACAGATACCCCCAACGGCATTCAGGAACTACCAACCTAAGCTAGGCAGTGCGTGGCCACGCATTACACGCGCACAAATACCCGGAAACAGCCGCAGGATTTACCAATACAAGCGAGGCAGGGTGCGTGGACATGCGCTTTGAAATTGATGCAGAAACGGCAGCAGCAACACTTGTGAAGCTAGACAGGTGGGAGGGTGGAGAGGTGAGCTCAACTCTGCCCAGGAACCTGAATGCTAGGTAAATGATCACAAACCCCCTCAGCCACCTTAAGGGCTCCAAGGTCACCCTCGCTAACACAGCGTCTCAGTCGTCAAGCGTTTTCCAGGAGACACCCTCGCAGGATAAGGCTTCACTGGGACAACGTTTCTTCCTGTTAAGAGCTTTACCAGGTCATGATAACTCGATGAAGCTTCAACAAGGGAAAACGTTGTCCTAATTAAAGCTTGTGCTGCAACGTACTTTTTGTTTTTGTTTAGTATTGTCAGCAGTATGTTATCTGAAGCCATACCTTCCTGCAGGAAAGTGTTCAAAATATCACGATCATCTACGTCCTTCCCAACACTTTGAAGGATTGGTAAACACAACTTCCTGGATTTGGCTCCACCTAGTACACAAAGAGAAAACACAGTAAGTGTCCGGGGCCCAAGACTGTTCAACAGCCTTCCGCCAGACATAAGGAGAATTATCAATAGACCCCTGGCTACCTTCAAGAGGGAGCTGGACAGATACCTAAAGTCAACATCCGATCAGCCGGGCTGTGGCTCGTACGTTGGACTACGTGCGGCCAGCAGCAACAGCCTGGTTGATTAGGTCCTGATCCACCGGGAGGCCTGGTCAAGGACTGGGCCGAGGGGGCGTTGACCCCTGGAACATCCTCCAGGTAGACTCCACATAGGCACCTTGTGGCTTAGCGCTTCTTTTTGATTATAATAATAATCCACATAGGCAAACCTATCTCCAGTGAAGCCAATGTCAGCCGTCGTATAAGAACGAAGCATGGCAGAGCAGCACTGCTTGCGTTAAGTCGGCACGCTTTTAAAATAACTAGTTACCCGAAGGCACACATTTCGACTCATTATAACGGGCTGAGAGGCCATAACCTGAGTAAACAGAGGCAGCCACACCTGCACACCCTAGCCGACCCGCATCCGTCCCGTTCCTGCGCTGGCCACACATAGCTACTACCCACCTCTCAAACAACCTCAGCAGGTTCCTACCATTATATCTGCCGCACACTAGAAGTAAGACCCCGTCAGTACCATAATATCCTCAGATTCTTCGTCACCAGGAGCATTGAGCCAAGAATACTCTTCTGGCCTCTTCTGACTCAGATTAATAGACCCCAATGGAAATAAGTCACTGTCTGACTATTTTGGGTTATCCTAGGTAATTTACGCATGTTACTATGGATAATAACGACCCAAGGGACGAGCTGGCCATGGCCGGGCTCCGGAAGTAGAAAGACTCGAAATTCACCAAAGGTATACTTATGTGGACCTGGACGTAAATACACTTGCACCAACAACTCACATCAGGATAACTTCAAACATATGTGGAGTTAAATGGCAGAGAAATCTGAAGCACCACCGCTGTGTGCTAATGGCTTGGTCGTAGCATCACCAACTCACACACTGAGGGTTGGTTATTCGATCCCCGGCGCGGATGAAACGAGGAGTACGTTTCCTTACACCTGCTGCCCCTGTTCACCTATCAGTAAGTAGGTACCTGGGTGTTAGTCGACTGTTGTGGTCGGCATTCTGGAGGACAAGATTAACTTTAGTTACGGGAAATGCTCTGGATAATCAGGCGCTTTCTATATAGTATGTCAGTGATATCAGCTATGGTCTGCATAATTTGTGTCATGTGCTCGTAGCAATAAAGATTATTATTATTATTATTAGTTAGTGTAGTGTAGTGGTGGTAGATAGTAGCAGTAGTAGTTATTACTATTATTGCTGTATGACCTTAGTGGGCTTTATTCTCATTAATTTTACATCATCTGCAAAATACAGATACATCTGAATATATCTTCTTGGTATGTCGTTCACATGCCAGAAACAGTACTACACTAATATCTATTCCTGCAGAACCCCGCTTGTCACATTTTTCATTCTGACATCTCTTCTCTGACAATCACTCTTTGTCACCTGTAATGTACTCTTTGATCCACTGTAACGCATTCCCTTTTATTCCCCACTACTCATCAAGTTTTTGTCCTAGTCTCTTGTGAGATACAGCATCAAATATCTTCTTGCAGTCCAAGAATATGCAGTTAACCCGTCTCCTCTCTCTCTCTTTCTCACAGACCTCCAGTTGGTTTGTTAAACATTTGCCATCTGTGAACCTGTGTTGGTTATTTTCATTATTTTACAGTGGTCATGTTAGCGATACTGATCTGCAGTTTAACTTTTCTTGTCTGTCTCCTTTCATAAACATCGAAATTACATTCGCTGTCTTCCAGATCTTCAGCAGTTGTCTTATATTCAGTAAAATTGTAGATTTTAGCTAGCTGTTCAGAGGGTGCTTCTGCTCCCTCTTTCAGAAACCATGGTGACAGGTGGTTACCTAAAGGTTACTTGAAATTTAAACTGAAGACAAGGTTGAGGGTTGTTGGCTTGCTCCCTCACGTCCCAGCCCCGGGCCAGGCCCTCCTGATTCCCTTACTTTTGTGTATCTAGTCACTCAAAAGTATTTTCAACTTTTCCCCTTTTGTGTATGTATGGTGCCCGTACCGCTGGTCCCTTTAAATCTCTTTGACATTCCGGGTTTTTCCCCTCAATTCTTCAAGACTTTTTTATCGTTACTGCGATCTCTCCTTTTTCCCTTATGTAGTCTTTTTACCCTTTTTGGTGTAGCATGTAGTACATACTGCGATTTAAATTTGGTTAAATTAAGCATTTTGTCAACAAGGCGTCTCTTGGGTTTCTAACTAAAGTGGACCCATGTTGCTGCTTACCTGTGTGGTCAAACTATGAAGCACCGTTAGTCAGTGACTTCAGTTTTGGGTTTGAGGCAAGCAGGTGTGTGGAGCTCACATAACGCTGCGTTATGAACCATTGATAAGATTCGTCATTTATTATATAAACTCCCCAAGCGTGTGCTCCGCACACAAAACTTATATTATAAAAATATTTTATGTTAGAGTTTTTATTCATTTTTTTAAAAAAAAAAGTTTAACTGAGGTATTTACCTTAATTATACTTCATGAAAAATAAAAACAAAATGTGTTCCTTAAAATTATGGTATAAATTTGGGTTTTAAAGTAACTACCTGAATTACATTTATTTAGAAAAATGGTATAATCATAAGCTATGTTACTACCCTATTTAAATTTTATATATTTGCAGTATGCTTTTTAAATTAAAGACCACACAGGATGTATACACAGAGGGTCTAATTCTTATTTAGATATTAAAGTGTTCTTGTTTGATGGTGACAAGTTTACGTGTAGCTTATGATACCAGTGTAGTCCGACGGGTTTTAGACCCCACATTGGGACATTTAAGAATTATATTTAAAAAAAAATTAGCTGCATTGTAGCACAGTTATAGCGCAGAGTAAACCCGTACCGAATGTATTCATGACGAATCTATTATTTTAAGTACATACTCGAGGAGCCTGTGGAGCCAGAAATATATATTACCTTCAAGACCAGTGTTGGTGCTCCTAATGTTGCTGGTCATCATAACGGGAACACTGCATGTGTTGAAGTTTGGTTGTTTAGTTAATGAGGCTTAATGACCTAATGTAGTCAATAGGCTTTATCTGTGAACCAACCAGGGATGAAATTTTTACTAGTACTATAAACTAAATTAATATTCTTAACATTTGAAATCCATTAATTCATTAAAAAAATAGCACCTCCAGGGCCCATTACCCCCCTTCAATCCTCAGTACAGAGAATGACCCCGTATCCTTACCTGGACAATTCTTGGATCTACCTCTGGGACTAATGGCTCATATTTATATATCAGGTAGACAGCAAGAGAGGCGACAACAACATGGGCCAACAGAATTAGAGGACTTCCAGCGACCACACTCGCATCGACAACCTACTCCATAAAGGTCAGAGGTCACTGGATCAGAGGGGCAATCGTCGGAGGTCAACAGTGCCAGGGTCACTCACATGGGCATTTAGGCCTACCGGGAAGAAAAGGGGGCATGCTGGGGGAAAATGCAGTACCATATTTAAGGAAAAGAGCACACAGGAGGGACTGGAGGAGGAAGTATGGTGTATGTGGTAAAGGAAAAGGAAGGAACTAGTGTGTGTACTGGAGGGAGGGAAAGACTGGTGTTAGTGTGATGGTGAGAGACTGGGTCAAGGCAGAACAAGAATGATAGAGGATTGTGAAAAAATGGAGACAAGATAAATGATGAAGAATGTTGGGGTATGGTTAATGAATGAAACCAAGAGTGAGGGAATGAGATGTAAACTCATGGAAACCTACATTTTCCCCTATACTGCTACCCATTAACACCTTCCTCCACCTACTAATTTTAGTACTTCCTCTCCACCAACTAATCTCCACACCCCACTAACATCACATCATTCTACAGCTAGCCTTGTGCAGCCAGCCGAAGCCTTTGGAGGAGGAGACGTGGCTGAATTCATCAAACGAACTGCAGCTCTCCTGCCCATTGGAGCCTCGCACGTTATCTCCGAAACGGCTCTTAGTGGCCGGCGACACCGAACGCAGCCATCTGATACAGGTACACACAACGAAATGAGTGACGAATTGTGCACATCATCAATGATTTTGTCAGAGTTGCGTCTCACTTCATTTACCCTTGTTATTATCTATGTTAGGGTTTATTAATGGCTTCTTCCGAATTTAAGGCCAAATAGCCATTATAATTCATGGATGTTTTCCTTAGGTGTTTCTACAGTAATTTGCCACTCTTAATTTGCTGGTTCAAATGCTTAAACAATTTTATTAATCGTCCTGGAGAAATTTTATGTACGTAACCTTGTGCTGTAATTTTGAGTGTAATTGTTTATTATTATTGTTATTGTTATTGTTAGTATTATTATTATTATTATTAGTAGTAGTAGTAGTAGCAGTAGTAGTACTTACATTCATATAGCGCCTGGAGGAATGAAAGGCATTCAGACTCGATTCAAGGAATTGGAGCACAGATCCAGTTCCATAGATCAAGAGCCCCTCACCAGCATGCAGTAACCTCCCTTGAGGGGGCGTGTAATTGTGACGACTGAAAATCAACAATAACCAATGTTTTCAATGGTGATACAGTTCTCTTTTTCTAGATGACAACAACACACTGCCTCCTCTTAACGAGACTTCTGGAGAAGCATCAGCAGTCATACGACCTAACTCCACACAGCAGCAACACAAAAGTGTCCCACTTCATTTGGAGAAGAATGATACTTCACCTGTCCACCAGCAGCACCTGGAGAAGGGTGATGACTTACCTGTTCTCCAGCAGCACCTGGAGAAGAATGAAACCACACCTGTTCACCAGCAGCACCTGGAGAAGGGTGATGACTTACCTGTTCTCCAGCAGCACCTGGAGAAGAATGAAACCACACCTGTTCACCAGCAGCACCTGGAGAAGGGTGATGACTTACCTGTTCTCCAGCAGCACCTGGAGAAGAATGAAACTACACCTGTTCACCAGCAGCACCTGGAGAAGGATGGGATGTCCGATTCTTTTCATCAGCAGCAACAGAAGGAAGGGTTCTCCTCACTCGTTCTTCAGGAGCACCTGAAGGATGGGTCCTCTCACCTGTTCAACAGCAGCAGCAGCAGGGATGACACAACCTCTCTTCCTATTCAGCAGCAACAGCAAGAGTGACAGAAACATCTCTTCCTATTCAACAGCAACAGCACTATGATGGACCTTCACTTCCTGTTCGACAGCAACAGCAGCAGATGGATGGGCCCTCCTCACCTACTCACCAGCAGGAGGAGACTGACACTCCTAATTTTCCTTCTGCAGGAGCAACAAGACCTTGCAACTCACCCTAGTATTCAGGAGCAGGACCTTCCAGCATTCCTGCTCTCGTGCTGCAACAGCAGCAAGACGTTTCCGCTTCCTTTTTTCTTATGCAACAGCAACAACAGAACGTCCCTCATCTCCTACTTCAACAGAACGACACTCCTTCACTCCTGCAGCAACTAAAGAATCTACAACCCTCCTGCATCAACAGACGCCACTCCTTCACTCCTGCAACCACAAAAACTCCCTCCTTTCCTCATTAATAAACAGAACGCCCTTCCCTCCCTCCTGCAAACAACAGAGCGCCCCTATTCCTTCCAACAACAACAGAACGATTTTTCTTCTCACTTACATCAACAGGAAGACCCGTCTTCTCTCCTTAACAAACAGTACGTCGCTCTTTCCTCCTGCAGAAGCGAATGATTCTTCCTCCCTCCATAAACAGAACGCCCCTCCTTCCTCCAGAAGCAACAGAATGACTCTTCTTCCCCCCATAAACAGAACGCCCCTCCTTCCTTCTACCAACGGAACAACTCCTCTCTCCTGCATCAACAGAACGATCATTCTTCCATCCTGCATCAAGAGAACGTCCATCCTTTCTTCCTGCAGCAACAGAACAATCATCCTTTCCCTCTTCATCAACAAAGCAAAACTTCTTTGTTCTTGCATCAACAGGACGATAATCCTTCCCTCTTGAAGCAACAGAACCCCCTCCTTCCCTCCTTCATCAAGACAACTTCATTCCTTCCTGCCTCAACGGCAACAGAGCGACCCTCCTTACCTTCAGCATCAACATCAGTACGACTCTACCTCCCGTCTGCCACTGGATATGGACACACTGCGTAACATGACGCACTACTACGCCAGTCTGAGTCGTAACGAGAACCAAGACACTTCTGTGGTGAAGGCACCGACTCAACAAGAGGTCAAGCAACATCGCACATACCTCCTGATGCTCCTGCAAAAGTTACGAAATATCGACGAAGGGACGAAAGCCTCCACGGGTGCTCCTATAGGAAGTGCTTCCATCACACAGCCCCAGCAGGATCGTATGTCACATGTTTCCCTTCAGAACATTTACTCAGGTGTTCCTAAACGAAGGCTAGGGACCTCGGAAGATAGTTTCCAAAATTCCTCCCGCGGTACCTCTGCACCAAAGGACCAGTTCAGCGGTGGACCACACCTATGAAGGCGTCACTCAACGGACTCAGACAAGCCTTGCTTGGCGTGAGTTTGTGAAAGTTTGTTCAGTCAGTTCCACTAATCTGGGTTTTCGTGTCATGAAGGCGTGAGAACCTAAGGTATTTAAATTAGAATTTGTACCCACGGCTCACGGAGGAAAAGATTGAACGCTTTCAAAAATCATAATTTACACATACCTTGTTTCGATTTTTTTTTTAAATCGCTAACAACACGTGACTTTAAAACGGTGGGAAACGGCCGATGTATTAACAAAATAAAATAAAATAACAATTACAAATAATATGTTAGTATCTGTCTCGTGAATAGTGGATTGAGGATTGAGTTTTACCCACACACTTTATGCTGATTGACTACATCAGATACAGTAATCATCCACCACCAGTTCACCATAACTATCTGGCGTCCAACAGGTCCCTGCGAACACCCAGAGCCACAACGTGTCCGTCCAGCGCTAGTCAACCGGTTGCAGACTCAAGGAATAACTAGTCTGTTGCGGTCTCCTTCCTGGGAGAGGAACCCCTCCTCGCCAGTAGCACCTTGCCGCCGCCCCTTCCATCTCCGCTACGACAGTCACGCAGGTGGTAAGGAAGTAATCACAGTGGGTTAGTTGAAGCTAAGTGTTAAAAGTTAGAGAACTTGGTTTTGAAACAGAAAGAAATAAGTCTATGCATGGTCGGGTTGTGTATGTGTTATTATATTTTTAGGCTGTTTCAACATAGCTAGGCCTTTCATCAGTCTCTATACTTTTGTCTAGTTCTCTGCAATCAGTTATAACTCAGTGGAATTAAATATTTATAATTCTGATTCCTGTCTTCGACCATCACTCTTTTGTTTTCTTTATTACTGTATCATTCGCTATAAAAGAACATGCAGTTTCCTAATGTTAACTCTACAAAAAAATATTATGGGACCCTATAACGATAATCTGGGCACTCCAGCAGTTACATTTCACTGTACCTATGCTGCACTTCTTACTGTATCTTTAGGTGTTCATTAATCCTTGTCAGCTAACTTTCCTTGTTACCTCAGTTTTCACAGCGTTTAAAGGCGTTTTTGGAGGAAAATAGCATAAAATACCGACATGATGAAAAAGTGACAGAAAAGCAATATAACGAGAGCTTTTTTTAACAACGTTTCGCCCACACAATGGGCCTTATCAAGTCCAAACACGTCTTTTGTGACTAGAAAAAAGCCCACTGTATGGTCTTTATCAAGTCACATATCAAATCCAATAAAAGGTCTCATTATACTGCATTTGTATCTTTTTTCCAAAGTCGTTCTACAGCTAATAAGTATGAAGAATCTCAAAAACCCTCCTGTCCTTTCCTACTTAATCTCTGTGAGGTTTGTTAGGTAAGACTTGCCCTTTCTGCAGCCTTGGTGATGAACCAGTTTTCTTATTTCTTTTATGGAGGTTTAAAGCAGCAACTATGAAGAAACACTGCTCCCGTCCTGTCATATGTGTGAAACGGAACCTTGTTAAATGTTTTTCACTCTGGGAGGATTGCAGGTCTTTTTTTTTTTCCTTCTGTCTCGTGAGCATGTAAAATGACAGGCAGATGTGGCAAACTCTTACTTACATTCTAGTATAAACATCTTCAGTGTGTTTCTTAGTCGTTCTCATTCCTGTGATTGCGAGACCAGGCTATGGGGGGCAATAATTCCCGGGTTTATTAGGATTGAGTCCTATGGATTACACGAGGATGGTAATTGAAAAGTATATGACTATACATTACATCTTATGCGTGGGGGGAGCAGAACTGCACACTGTTATTCAGGCCTAAAAGTGTAATAAAACCATATAGTATAATTATATGTACATATAAAAAAACGTATGGTTTTTTTGTTACAAATGTGAATGAGGGTTACATAGTGCAGTACTAATTTTCTTTTAATTTTTTATATCTGATGTTTTCTATCACCATGACTTTTCGATGGTTGTTCTTCTACCTTATGCATGTAATGCTTATTATAATCTTACTGACATGGAAAGTCAACTCGACTTTTAAAACCCTGTGTACCCCATGGCTTGTTATTTCTGTACATTTGTAGATGGAAAAATTCACAGTACCGTGGATGGCACAATTCACAGTACCGTGGATGGCAAACAAATTCCAATCCCGTACCGTGGGGTGGCACAATTCACATTACCGTGGATGGCACAATTTACAACTAACTACAAACTGAAGATGAAGCTGACAATGTTTGGGTCCGTCGTCGTCAACATTTTTTAGTAATACCGTCAAAAACTTTTAGTGAAACACGTAACGGGGCGCTTGTTCGTATAATGAATCCACCGAGGGAAGTGCCTTCTAACTAGTTAATGATTCTTGATCCAAAGGGAATTGGAGCCCCCCTTTCCCCCTTTTCTGGATCAAACCCGGCTAGGTCCCCCCACACCCTCTCATAAGCCAAGGCGCGGTTAATGGCCCTGAGGAGTTGAGTACTTTACTTAAATGTAATTAACAATGGAGCCTCCGGAAACATTCTGAAGGAACCGTTTAATTAGAAGGTTTATCCTGGACAGCATCACGAAAATTTATTTGTGAATAATCGGTTTAGAAACCAACAAGTTGATGAAAAAGATGCAAATGCCTCATTTATCAACATTTATTTTACAAAAATATGGACTCAGACGCCTCATATATGAAAAAAACTGTCATCATTACTGAGAATATTCATTTATTTTTTCCAAAATATTTCACTGTACATTAAAAATAAACATTAGGTTTCTCATTCGACATAAAATCTCGGCATATCTGGTGTGAAACTGTGAGCATTTATCAGCCTAATAATGGGCAATTTGTTCTATACATTATAATGGACGACTGTCTTCCTAAAATCTATCTGCGGAAGAAGAAATAGCAAAAGTAT